TAATGCATTGAAATTGGCATGCGATCGGACCACAACAAACACAAGTAGGTCTCGAGTAAGTGCCCACTTTTACGTCTAGGGCAATCATACCTTCCGAACTTGACGTCTTTCCACCGAAATCTGAAATCATAATATTGTGTTTGACTAAGTCTTTTAGCTCAATGCCAAATTTCTTTAGCATAGTAATTGGCAGTATATTCACTGCTGCTCCACCATCGACAAGGACTCTATTCACCATCTGTCCTTGAATCTCGATGTTCAGTAATAACGGTTTCAAGTGGAACCTCATTTCCTCATATGGGGGATCGATGAAAGCAACGTCTTTATGAGGAACTTCACATGAGGTTTGTGTTACCCATGTTATTTTTGGCCTTATGTTTTCCGAATAGAAGTCATCTTCTCGCTCTAGCATCTCTTTGTTCTTGGTATTCTTTGTATTCGCTAACATATTCCGCAGTAAAATTGATATTACCCCGATTTGATGTTCATTCCAAGTACCATCATTCTTGTCATCGTAAAATTCTCTTGCATAATGACTTTCTATCTATGCAACATTTTCTTCAAAATTTCGTAATTATTCCAATAGGGGATCCTTCCTCCTCTTCTCCAGTGGCCTTCCTCGAATCTTCTTTGGAATGTTGGGAATCTAGTGGTCGATCCATCATCATACGAGAGTCTTTCGAAGACATCATTACTTTGAAGTCTATCTCTTCCTCCTCGAGAAGGATACATCTCTCTTCTAATCCACTCGCCTCGATTTTCACTAACACCGGAGCCAACGGATTTCGCCGACTTTCTTCGATCGTTGGTCGGACTCGTTTGATCTACTTTGTCATTTTTCCTTTTATTTTGGTTCTCGATCTTCTTCATCTCGTTCGTTCGAAAGCTTTGGCAGCCGATTTATCGAACACCGCACCGCAACGTGGGCATAATGACACATCTTCGTCTTTTTCCTTCTTTCTATTCAAAAATTCAATGAGAGAATCTCCCGATCGAGGGTATATTTCCTTTTCGAACTCTTTCTCGAATTCACTCGTGTCAAATTCCATGTCTTCCTCGGATACATCCATCCCGACATGCTTAGGATCGATGTCTTCCGTGACATCTACCATGCCTATAAAGGCCGAATTTGTTAATCTGGACATCATCGTAATGCCCGTTTGGGATTCGAGGTATCCTACTTGAGCCTCGAATGGACTCGTGTCAACTTTCATTGTCATTTCTTCGAACCTCAACCTTCCTTAGTCGATCGCATCTTGGATTGTGTTCCTGAAATGTATACAATTGTTAGTCCAATGTCCATAAACATTATGAAATTTGCAATATTTTCGACCATTCCTTTGTTCTCGCAGACGCAGCTTTATGATCATCACTCAACTTAATCTGTTTGTCTTTCAATAAAATATCAAAGATTTTGTCTCGCTTTTGTTACATCAAAAGTATATGTTCGATTTGCCATTTTATCTTTTACTTCATTTTTTTGTAGCAATTTACAAGTATATGGAGCCCCTACTTTGAGTTCTCGCTATGTTTACTTTCTCATCGACAGCTTTCTTCAATATCATTTTCTCGTCATGTTATCTCGTCTCATATACATCATTTATGTATGCTATTCTTTCCTTTTTCAAAGGTTTCTCATATTTCTTATACCTTTGTTTCTCATACTCTATTTGTTCCACTCTTCTCACTTTATCGCCTAATCGAGCCATGTCATTCAATGGTAAATTGACTAGTTTTTTCCTAATCGAGAATTCTAAACCCGCAGAGGCCATTCTGACTAATTCATATTCGTGAATTTGAGTGAAGCATCTCGATTTCATTTGTCTAAATCGATTCAAATAATCATCTATGCTTTCATGATTATATCTTTTTATATTCATCAAGTCGATGAGACTCACTTGAGTTTCTCCTCTAAAGAATTACTCATGAAAATTTCTTTCCAATTGCAACCAATTATATATCGAATTGGGTGGCAATGACGTGAACCAAGTAAAAGCACTCTTAGTCAAAGAACTAGGAAAATATTTCATTTTTAATTCTTCACTCATCGCTAAATCTCCACATTCGATCCGATATCGAGCCACATGCTCGATAGTCGATTCACCAACTTCTCCAAGCAAATTTAGTGAATTTGGGTACTTTATATCCTCGAGGCAATTCCGTCTCGAGAATCGCATTCGGAAAGGGAGATACAAAATATGTCTGATTGGGTAGTCTCAATTCCATCCCTTGTAAATTCATCCTATGTCCTATATTCTGATTGTGTATATTTTGAAATCCTTCGTTCAAATTCCCATAAATATCATTCCTCACATGTTGATACTCATTTCTCATATGCCGATGTTGATCATTGTTTCTATTTCTCCTCAATAGATATGGGGGATTAATATTAGTATTCCGATTAGCATGATTTTCTATCCTCGTTTGTCGAGGCACAGCCTAATGCATCCCCGATTCGTGACATTTGGTCTCGCTAATATCTCAAAACTAGCATTAGTGTTTTGCACTAATGGATTTAAGACTCGTGGTCAACTCGTTGTGATAACATATTCACCATTTCAAAATTACTCTCATCCATTTGTTGTCTAAGTACCCCTAATGAATTACTAGATATTCCGGTACCCATGTTTTCAATAGAATCAAAATTAGATCGATGATAGTCTCTATCGAATACATGTCTCCCGTGCTCTAAGTTTCCCTATGATCTAGATTTGGAGATATCTCGTTGTGTGCCTACATTCTCGTCCACTCCCTGTCCGGGGAATTACTAAGTTTTGAGATGTCCCTAAATTCGGAGGAATTCCAAAATTTTGCGGCATACCTAGTGTTTGGGACATTCCTAAGTTATATCTCAAATTCCTATGCGTCGAAGAAGTTCCAACCCCACTTACACTATTAAGTGAAAACCCGGCGGTCTTACACTCATATGTGGCCCTACATATGTAGTTGTAGGATTTCCCATAGTTTGCATATTATTTGGTGCAACCACACTAGATCCTATTTGAGTATTCGCTGAAGTGCCCGAATTTTGTTCATTACTCACGGTATCGACATACTTACAGCTTGTCGATACTACGTGCGTGTTCCCATTATGGCTTTGCCCCCAGCATTTGGTGGGTGTGACCCATTTAATCCCTCACTGTTACTCTGGTTACTTGATGAATTCAGACTCATGACTCTCCCACTCCTTAATCTCATACACTCTCGAACTAACCAATTTTGTGTTTCTCGACACAAGAGTCCCCCTACCTGGCGCGCCAATTTGTTTCTGGTAGAATTTCGATCGATTTCGATTCTAATGGTGTTTTGGTCTTAATCAAAATTCTACCACGTAAATTCTTTTTACTTAGGCTAGTAATTTGATTTTCAATCGAAAACGTGTATGAGAATCGAAAATCACAATATATCGACGGAGCTGTTTTTGGTATTTTGTATTTAAAGTACTGAAAGCAGTAAAACTATCGAATCGAAAAACAGAATATTAAATTGCGAGGAAATGTAAATTATGAGAACCCCAAGTTTTGCATTAATTGTAAATAACAAGAAATCGAGATTGCAGGAAAAGTAAATGGCAGGAAATCGAGATTTGCAGAATGATAAATAACATGGAAACTTAAATGCAGAAACTTAAGCTTTCATTGAATTGAAATGACTATGAATCGAAAGTACAGAAACATGAAATCACTGAACTCAAATTGCAATCAACGTAAATTACCAAGGAAAATACAGAAAGCGGTAAATGTACTCATTGAGCAAAGAAACCCAGATTGCCGTAAGCTTCATGATGTTCGTCGTTTTTCCGGTAGACTTTTCACTACCGATTCCGTTCTCTCGCCAATTTCGCCCCTCGTTCCTTCCTTCTTTGCTCTATTTATAGGGCCTCCTTCAAGCCTTCCAAGAACAAGCTAATAAGACCGCTACCACGTTCTTTCGTGCATGACGGCTTCTTTTCTACAGCTTCCCACGTTCTCACGATCCTCGACTCCTTCCATGGTCCCGTAACCGCTTTCTATACGTGCGTTTGACTTATTCTTCTCTTTGTGGTTTGTCCAAAGTTTCGATGTCCATGTTCCCTTCGCATTCGATGATATCGAACACTTTGCATTGCTTTGGGTTTAACCTTAACATCATATGATTCTAATTTCCTAGTTTTTTATTCGACAACAAGCATTTGGTTATCATTCACCCAATTTTCGATTGTGCCTCTCGATGTTACTTCTAATTTGGTCATCGAATGATTTCTTTTGTCTATCTTACCGATTTATCAATTGATCATATTTCTCGATTCCACAATAACGAGATAGAAATAAAAATTGTTATTAATTTTATGTGTGTATCTTGTGTTGAAACTATTTATATAATCGTTATTTTTAGATTTATTATTTTATTATTATTATTATATTATATTATATTATATTGTTATTACATAGTTTTAATAATCACCACTAGTCATCGTTATAACTTATTATTATCCAATTCTTATAATGATGCATACTGATTATTAACTAAAATTAATATTTATTTTATTCTTATCTTATGTTTTTATTTTATTACTGAATTATATTTTGTTCTAATCCTCAAACAAGTAGATTAAAAAATTCCAGTTATGACACACGTAAGATGATGTGAAGTTGAGAATAAAAGGATCTCAAACTCAAACTAGTTTGGTAGTTTGAGTGAGCTATAGAAGAGTACTCGGCATGCTAGCATGTACGTGTGTACCCATCTCATGCATGACATGTTCAACTATTTATTACTTTCGATTTCTTCTAACATAAAAATTTCGATAAATATATAAAAAAAAAAAAACAATTATTTTGTGGTGTGTCCAAGTTCCTGTGATCAGCAGAATAGCCTTGGTATGTAACACTAGCAGCTAATTTCTTTTTATCTACATTTGACTTGGATTCTGTATGTATTGGACTTCAAATACTTTCTTTCTGTTCTAAACCTAATAAATCTGCTCCATATTTATTTCGCAAGTTGTTGTGTCGCATGATCTACCTGCACAGCGCCTCAAGTGACAGCTTCTTTGCAATTCCCGGACATGGGTCTCCCCCAAAAACATCAGGAGCTACAGTCACCATGCAAGATTGCTTGCCAATGCAGTTCTACAAATAATAACAATAATAAATAATACAAGGACAATAAGATGCATTAGCATAACATGTTAGAGATAATCATTTAGAACCAAATCATCTATCCAGCAATTCCTGTTTGTAGATGTCACAGGGGTTAAGTGAGCAGATAAAACAAAAAATGGTGCCAACGTATACAGAAGTGTTACAAAATTTACTAGTACTGATGACTATGGTAGTTTGTAAATCATTCTAAAATACAGGGACGACCACAACTTAAACTTGGCTTCCAAGAGAACTGAGTGAAATTGTCTGACTGAAACATCAGAAGTAGCACCAGTATGCATCAGCACAAATCTAAATTGTAAAGGGTCTAGCTGATTGGGGTACCTTTTCAGGAGCATCATATGATCTGTGAGCATGACAGTTTCCCTCTCTATAGTTTCCACAATTTCCCTGTGGCAATCCATAACTAGCAAATTTAATCTGGGAGATCTTTAGCCCAGGTGGACACCACAAGTGAGCCTTGGGTCTATTAATTTTGCCAGAGTCTAGCATCTGCCTGTTTTTTAGAGTTGGTTGCCCTTCATATATATCAGCACAAACACTTTCTGTTGTTCTTTTCACCAAAGAAATTCCACTAGGGTCCCCTCCCCATTCTTCAAACACAACCAGATAGTTCCCACTTGGGTTCAGCCACGACCGAGGAATATGGTACCTGTCCAATGCCAACAACAGGTTGCCATGAATCATGTTGATATTCAAGTTACACCATTCACTGTAGTAAAACAACTTGTGTCAACGTTTACCATCTCTGGGAGGGTTCTCCACAGTTTGTCTGGCATTTCTTATCTGTGTAAGTTCCAGCGTAGTAACATTCCTCACAACCACCGCGTGCTATATATCCAGGCCAATGGCGTCCAATGCTTCGACCATTTACCCATACTTGACCCTTTCCCATGCTAATCATGTCTAGAGCCAATGGATCATTGCCTGCTGGTGTGCTAAACGTCGTCTATTTACATTGCACCATAAATGTGTTAGAATAAATTCATGCTTGTTGAAAACTTATTGAAAATGCAACATTCGTTGAAAATTCAATCTTACCTTGTACCATGTCAAAGGTTGTTTCTTAGCCAATGATGATCCTTGTACCCATTCAACCGAGCTACTCCCTCTTACAGTGTCAAGGTTTAAGGCTTCTCCCTTGAGACCAATCTGCCAACAAAATGCAGATGAGTAATGTCCTATTTTTGTGGTGATACACACACATGATGAAACCTTTCAATGCTACAATTGGCCAAAACAATGCTAGATGACAAACCTTGTAAGACCATTTCTGTTTAGACAAGTCTCTAGTCCCCTCATTTAGACCATTAAGTGTGATTGGGCCTAACACCCCTGCATTCCATGTCTCAAAGTGTACCCCAACATTCTGACATCAATGGAACATTGTTTTATGATTTTGGAAGGGGGGAAAATCTGAAAATAAAGAATTGTTCACAAATATATTAAAGAGAAAAGAGAACTAACCGGGAGACCCACGGCAATACTTAGTAAAGATATCTTGTTATTGCCAACCCTCAACTTAACACTGTCTCTAAATGTTAATTTAGGAAACTCCAATCCCCCGTACACAGTACCTGCATTTACACAGAAGGTGGATAAGTACAAGTGGAGATTATCATAACAAAACACTGGATTGAAGATATATCCTTAATCTTTTGCACCTGAAAGTTGACCATTAATGAAAACATGCAGAGCATGGCCAGCTGACATTACGGTAAGAACAGGAGATTGTCCACTCTTAATAAAACCTTCATTTGCATCAATGTTGACACTGAACAAAGGGAACAATAATATTTATTAGATGGAGAAAGAATATAAACAGTAAGCTTCAAGAAGATGAACATTCCAGTTATTAGTTTTTTGAAGTCAAATACATGATCAGTTGAAAGATACTTACTCTGTCATATACCACAAATAATCTGTAGAATCTCGGGTGATATTAATCTGCTCCCAGAGTGCATATGCTGTGAAGGGATCATCTTCACTGGACGATGCAGGCTCTTCATTGTACGAATTCCAATCGAATGCAGTGTTCACAGCAGTCATCTTCATGACAGAGCTTTGAGCACCGAGCTGTATACATAACATGGATAACATGAATGTTCAGAAAACAAATCTCAATATAAATACAGAGGATTTCTTTCTGTCCTTGAAGAACAGCAGAAGTCTTGAACATTAGAATTAGTATGAGAAATATGTCAGTGACAGCTACATTTCTGCACACAGATGATTTCAGGCTACATTCCTCCAAGAAAAAAAAAATAAAAAATAAAAGCTTGACAATTAGTATTGTCTTACCCTGGCAGTGTTGAAAACTGCAGTTCTGCAATCAGGAAGAATGCTGATAGACCAAGGTGGTAGGTCATATTGTCCATTTCGAAATGTAACTGTTGCAGAAGATTTGGTGTCATAGTTTGCTAGGAATGCAGCACAAGCACCAGAAGTATTGAACACATGTACCTAAGTCAATATTAAAAAAATTAAATAAATTTTCAACAAGCCTGTTGAGCATTCTTCCTAAGTCACAACCCAGTATAGGGACCTTACCTCAAGGTTTTTCCCAGGCCATGTCACTGTGGGATCTACAGACACTAAAGCTGGCTCACACAGCTTTATTGCTTTATGCAAATCTCTCAGATGCCCCCATTTTGGTTCGTTTAAAAGTCCTGACATAGTTAAACAAGCTTCAGACTAATGTGAATATGTACAAATTGCAAAAACAGTGATTAATCTTCCCCTCTGGCATCGATATAAGCAAGTAATTTAAAAAAAAATATATATCTTCTCTATTTTTTTAATATATTTAAATTTGCATGGTGTCATCATCCAAAGCATGCTAACAAATTTAAACTATTGTCTCTGCCTACCGTATTCATCAAGGAGACCATCATAGTCATAGCTGGTGGCAACGAAGGGGCCACCTGATGTCCTATCAAAGTTAGTTCCTCCATGGAACTAGATCCAAAAAAGGTACACTTTAGACTCAAATCAAAGTTTCCAATGCATGACATATGGTAAATATAAGGGTGGGAAATATCTATTGACATTTGCCAACAGATAGATCATAAATGCAATGTTCCAACCTACCATATAGTAATTAACAAATGAACCACTATTCTGTACGAATCTTACAACTGAGAAGGCCATGTCTTCTGCAGGTCTACGAGGGACCGGTCCACCAAACGCAGTGTACCTACAGAACACGAAACATAAAACTGAACAGAGGATCCAGATCAGTTATTACTGTCATTTATTTGTAGAACATACCAGCCACTCCAGTTCTCTGTCCACATTTTGGGTTTGTAGTCCTTGTTAGGAGTGAAATTTTCACAGTAGTATCCGTTGCAGGTGTCAATCTATTGAGAGAGAAAGATGCAAGGGAGTTTAATCAATTTGCCAGTGGAAAAAACAAAAATGGGTGGATGACACAGAGGCACGTTAACTATTAATTAGAACAAACCATAAGAGAAAAGCTACAACAGAGAAAAGCCAAATGGGCCACTGAACCTAAATCAAAATATCAATAGTAAAAGCAACAACCTAACCAAACAAAACAACCAAAACACTACTGAAAAGTGTAACTAGAAAAACAACAACAACAACATAGGTGGGACACATAATTTTAAAGAAGATAAGAATTATTCTCCAAATGGTTTTTTATTCTCCTTGAAAAGGTTTAAGCAAAAGGGTCTTACAACAGGATCCGGAGCATCTTCTTGCTTGCACATAATCCAGGGGACGCCTGTATCTAAACCCACAGCCATTTGAGCAGCCCATTGGGCATAAGCTTTTCCAGGAGCACCAATTTCCCACTCCACTGGTCCAAATTCGTTTTCTATCTGTCACATTCAATTTTTGGCCAAAGAAAATGCTATCAATCAATCATCATTATTGTAATTGGTTGGCCTAACTAATAAAACCTTTTAGTTATAAAAAAATAACATGACAAAATGCTAGGTTGAAACTTGAAAGCAATCCTACGAATAAATATCTTATTCATATCCCATTTCCTTGCCTGTGACATAATTATTGGACCTCCCTGCGTCTGGAACAATTTCTCCGCCTTCATCATGCTGACAATCTTCTCAGTAAATTTTTGCATTGCCGCCTACATCATTACCAAAATCGAACGATTGCTTAGAAAATTAACAGAATTTCATAATTAAACTATATAACAATAATAACTAAGCAAATTTGAAAATTACAACCTTGAAAGGTTCATTGTCTGTTCTGAAAGCAATACCAGGAACATACTTGAGCCAAACAGGAAACCCCCTGAATATCAAACAGAACGAAAAGACCTTTAAACATTGCTACACATTGTTGTCATTTTTCAAAATAAAATATCCTCTGAATATATTATATTATATAGAAATATAAGGAAGGTTATATTACCCAAAGTTCCACTCAGCACATACGAAGGGACCAATACGGAGATTAACATAGAGACCAGCCTGCTGCACCACCTTGATGAACTTGACCAAGTCGTATCTATCCTCGAAATAATACTGAATTTTTAATTTCCCCAGATTTCACATAAAAAGAAGAGTGAGCTTTCTATCAGACTTTTTGACAAGTGCAAAAAAATATATTTAAAAATATGAAAGTAACATTTGCTTTACGTTTCCAGGAGTAGGTTCATGTCCATTCCAAAACACATAGGTTTGAATAACATCTAAGCCTCCATCTTTGGCCTTCTGAATAAGGTCTGGCCACATCTGCAGCCACGAGAGACAATGTGAAAACTGAAAACGGAAAACTCTTTGGTGATAACAAAAATAACAAAGGGTGAGTACCTCAGGTGTGCTTCTGGGGTAGTGGATGGAGCCAGAGATCAAAATTCTTCTCTGCCCATTGACAAGAATGGCTTTGTGATCATAAGTCACCGAGGCTGTGACTGTAGAAACCCACAAAAATAGCAGCAGGGTATAAAAAAAAACCCTTGGTAAATTCTCCATAAGAACCCGTGAACCCGTCAGTGTCCTTTGCACATTTAAAAAGCAAAAGGTTCAAATGAGATGAAGGGGAGAAGGGAAACGCGCTTCCGTTGTTATTTATTCACAATGTATCTTGATTGGTTTGAGGTTGAAAAGAGATAGCAGACAAAGACTTTATTGTAACAATGGTAGTTGAGTTGCGAGGTGGTTTTGGTGGGTTTGTGCAGTTTGTGAGAAGGCTGCAACAACTTTATATACATTTGAAAATCCATGCTCTACCTTCGAGTCTAGCTAGAACTGGGTCCCATTTTCCCTCACTGTTTCTCTATTCTACATATATATTCGGAACAAATTATCCATATCCTATATCCACGTGTAAAACAGAGTTGAACACAATCACATTCTATTCGTTCTAACTATGGATAAATACTTAATTAAATTTAATATTATTTTAAATGGGTTCAATTTAAGGTAGAGTTTTGAAAAAATAATTCATTTTTAATAAAACATATTTCATTTTTAATAAGGACATTTTACAATCTCAATAACTTAATTTTTTATTTTTTATATGTCTAATAGTTATTTGTATTGATGATTAACAAAGGTTAAAGTTAATAAAATTAAATAAAATATTTATTTTTCTTAATTTGTATGATTTTCTCAACAGTGCCATACAAAAGATTTAATAAAAACTAAATACTTTAGGGTAATCATAGTTACTATATAGAAATTATTGGATCACTTTATATATTATTGGAGTACATTTATTTAATATAATATTAATTATTTCATTTATTAAATAATAATTTAAATATATATTTATTAAATATATACATTTCATCATAATTTCTATGTATAAAATGTATTAGTAAATAAAAATAATTATTTAAAAACTTTCTACATAAATACTATATATATATATTAATAATTTTATTAGATAGATATTACTGTATCCATTAATGTTACTATTAATTTGATAATTTATTTAAATAATAGTTATTATTTTATTTATTCAAAATTTTAATTAAACTAAAAAAACATAATTTCGGTATACAAAATATATTATTTACTAAATATATTTAAAATCTTGATACGTAGCTTCAATTTAATGATTTTTATATATAATTTTTTTAATTTTTATATTAGGTAGAAACATTCTATTTATCATCTACTTAATATTGGGACCAAAATTATATTTAAACGTAACAAAAATAACAATTATAGTCTTTTGAAATTCATAAACAAAAGTCATCTTTCATATTATTATTTTTTTCATTCAAAACGTAAAAATAAAATTCTCAACGTCAAACTCACATAATATTATAATAACAAAAATTATCCTAAAATTTAAGTAATTATAATGTATATTTATTACTTTTACTTTGTACATCATAGTATTATATAACTTTATTGCGTTGAGAAAGAACATGTCATGATAATTTGAATTTGCTTTATATATTACTTTAAGACATCGTCAACAAAATTAAAATTGTAGTTAATTATTTCTAATGTTAATAAAACTATTTTTTATAGATAATTACATATTTCAAAACTTCATTATATTTATGTACATATATTTTAAAATAAATAGTAAGTATACATAAAAAAAATACAACTTTAATTAAATCGTGCCTCGCGAGATTAAAATCAGGTTAATTTAATTATGCTTTAAGATTATCTGCTTACAATAAATTGTTTTGTGCATTGCCTAAGTCAAACAATAATCTGTCTAAAATTTTATTTATATGACATTACAGTTTGATTCGGACAACATTCAGAGCAATAATACCATTAAACAATATAAAAACATAATTCATATTCGTAATCTGTTTTAGAAAAAAAAAAAAAGTTAGAATGATGTGGATCAATCCATTTTCTTCATCTTTTCTTGCATAGTAATATGCACAAACAAAGTTTTAAAAAAACAGTTCAGCACAAAGTTAAAAATGTGTGTCATGAGCAGGTACATTTGATGGCAAATTCTTACAATATTGAAGAATTAGACAAGGCAGTGAGTGTGAGACCACAATTTAGAATGTTGTCGAAAAGGGACTAGGAAAACATTCTTGAACCTTTGCGTTGGAGTTTGGTAAATGTATCTTAATTTCCTTTGGGGTGATGAATGCACCAAAAATGGATGTGTGATAAGTGGCATAAAAAAGGACCTACTTTGGGGTACTTTTCACTGCAACATGTTGCTCTTCTTACTCATAAAGGAAGATTCCACGCTCACGTACGCCATTTTAATCTACTTTGAATCCAATCCCTTTTTATTATTATTATTATTCTCTTGTCACCAAAATAAATATCATCCTCTTTTTAGCTTCCACCCATTACACGTAGGGAAGCAATACTCCACATTATATCATAATATTCTGTTCAACTGTTACATCAACTCTCTAAAACTATGTAATAAAAATCTCACTGAGATATTATAAAATTATGTTTTCTTTCTCATTATAAATGCTAAATAGTACTTGATGTCACCATCATTTTTAATAGGAAAAAAATTACAGATTCCATTTTTTCAGTGACAAAAACTTCGAAAAAAATGAATTTGCTTGAAGAATGGGAATGGAAGGGAATAATGAAGGGAAGTCGAGGCATTTTCAATCTTTAAAATTGGATCTTGAAACCCAACTTTCATCCTTCGGAACCAATCGTATCATGCCACGTTTCCACATTGAAGTTGTACTATGAAGGAACGAACTCACACCTTTTATTTTTTGATTCACACAAAAGTTAAAAAAAAAAAAAAAAACTTATTGCATGATGCATGTGAGTAATAGCAACTTTTAGCATGTATAAAGCTTTCATTATAAAATATAATATATGAAAATAAATGAAAACTATAGTGTGAGTCACTGTCCTAATTCTATCTTTTTAATAAACATAATCATTCCACTATATATTTTTTAAAAATTAAATTAGTACGGGACAAAATCTGTAAATTCTAACTAGTGTCTTAAAGTGGAAAATTCTCCCAGCATTAAACAGGATTAAAGAAAGTGAGAAGATACAAATAATGATGTTTTTTATTTAATTAATTTATTATTCATAATTTCTTTTTGTTTCTCCTTAAGAGAATATGTGTTTTTTTTTTCTGATTTAGGCACTGTACAATACATACAACTAAAAAATTAACTTGTGAAACTAAATAAAGTTTACTTAACTCGAAGCTAAAGACTAAATAATAATAAAAAAAGGGAATTACAAAATTTGAAAATTTTGAAATGTTATCAAAATGATAAAGGAAACTAATAGATATCTTAAATTAATAAAAATATTAAAAAATATTTAATATTTAAAATATCATATTGTTAAATAGACTATTCGTGGGTGAAAATCTATTCCCATTCTATAGAGTAAATGTTAAGGGCCAATTTCGTTTCTGTCTTTTTATTTTTATTTTTATAAATCACTAGTATCATGCATAAAAATATAATGAGATTCTGGTTAGGTAGATCGGTTATGAAAACCCAAATTCAATATTACTTTTTACTAATTAATTCACATATAATTTTAGCTTATCCAAAAGTGATTTATGGGAAGGATTTGATTTTCTTAAACATTAAATTCAGTTATTCAATAATAAAAGTAAATGAAGTTTAAGTTCCAATGGTTTTTTCATTTATAATAATAATAATAATAATAATAATAATAATAATAATAATAATAATAAAGGATTATTGCAATGATTGGGAATTTGTCTCATAATGATTCACATGTTGCTTGAAGCAGCCACTTTCGCTAAATGTTGTCGCAATAATAATGAAACTATCATATGCTATCTTTTTTTTTAATATTGAAATGACAGTAAATATATGCATAAAAATAGTGTGGAAACCACGTAAAGTAACTTAAGAAACCACTTGAAAAATGAGATTGGACCCATCTGCCCCAAATATTAGGGGTTGTTTTCCTAACTTCTGTGTTTGACCCACAATATCACTATCTCAGCTACCCTACGCTTTATCCCTTTTGCATACCCAATTATTCTTCAGAACTTTTCCAAATATCAAGCAAAAATGGTTTTCAAGTTTTTAGTTTGCAGCAACTAATGTGAAGTTGTTCCAAAAAAAGAGAAACAGAAAGAATAGGAACAATAAACATGGTGTGTCCCAAATCAACAACCCATGTCAAAATCATCCACTGTTCAACTTGTGTATTCATGGCCCCGTTGTTCCGTTGTTGATAAAGTTGAATAAATTTTATTTTCTAAAAAATTGAATATAACTTTTACTTAAAATTGTTTTGATTAAATATTAACTCTTTTATTCCTTTACATGCATAATGCTAAAATTATTAAATACCTTACAAACTAGTAGTATATAAATACAACAATAATCTTGAACGTCTCAGGACCACAAACAATACTGCATTTGCAAGTTGTACATGTCTATTTCAATGAAATTAAATACTTCCCTTTTAAATTGGTAATAACCATCATATGTTTTTTTTTTTTTTAAATCTGCACCGTTGATATGTACTAAATTATTTTGATTTCCAGCAAAGTCTTATGTATAAAAATATGAATTGACTTTTCTAAACTGAGCATTATATAAGTAATTTCTCTTGGACCACATTTTACTCGAAATTCTTAATAAGTGATTTTGAAAAAAAAAAATGTACTAGAAAAAAAGTAGCCATACATAATGAAAAATATTGGTTTCCCTATTGAAAAATTTCATTCGTTCAAAATCTAACAATTTATAAACTGAAAATGACATGACAGTGGAATTGTTATATATTAAGGGATTTAGGAGACTAGGAATGTGTATCAAATCCAAGACAGGGTAGACATCATAGCAATCTTAACTACCAGTTTTTTCTAATTATTTTCTGCTTATTTTTAATTATTTTTTGTTTTTATTCACAAAATTAAGAATTTGAGACTTTATTTTAGGAAACAAAATCAAATTTTATTTACACTAATAATTTATTGCTTAGTGTAGGTATCTGGAAATATATCCATATTTTTTTCTTCTTAAAAATGAAGGTTAGCTTAAAATAATTAAAAA